CAGCGATACTGGACCAATTCAAGTGAAGTGCCTTGCTAAAGGGCACAACAGCTGTGTCTCACCCGGGATTTGAACCCACAACCCCTTCAGTTACGGGTCCAGAAGTGGGACCAGTGCCCTAGTAGTGTACTTAGTGTCGCTTCAATACAAAGTATTACAGAAAAAAAAATAAGGACAATGGGGGAAATTAATGATGGGGGGGTTAAGGGTTAATACAAGTGCAGATCCATTTTGTAGCCTTGTTGGTCAAAAAGAGATGCAGCAAATAAGCAAATTTGAAAATTTGAGAAGACAAATTTGCCACCGTGCCATTTTCGCCCTTCCACCCGGCGAGAAACCGCAAACCACATGCGGCAACGAAAAGAGATTTGCCCAAGCCATCCCTGGACGATCTCCAATACCCCGAAGTTTTATCTCGCCTGCTCTTACAGGTCTGAAGGGGCGAGGGCAGCTCTAAACACAACAGACTCTCAGGAAAACCAATTCGCTGCTGGAAGCAGGGGTGGGGCTCTCCCCCAGCAGGATAAACCAGAGGAAGATTGGCAACCTGTCCCCACGTCAGAGGCAGGACTTCTCCTCTGTTTCAAATAGGAAATGCAAGGGGGAAGCGAAATCATTATTCTTTTTTAACCAAACTGCCGGTGTTCTGAAATTCTGTGCCTCTGTGGTAGAAGAGTCTGAAAAACTGCCCCTCCCCTGCCCTCCGGGTGGGCTGCCCTACAAGCCGATTTCTGCAGGTGCAGAAAGACAGAAAGACAGACTAACGTGTTGCACTTCACACCCGCAGCAGAGTGAAAATGCAGAGTCAAAACCTCCGAACCCCCATCCCCTGGGGAACTTATTTTTGAAAAACCCGCCGCCGTTGCTCTAAGAAACCCCTGCCGCTGCTGCCCTGGCAACACCACAGCGCTTCCACCCTGGATCGCGGGTCACGGCCTGCCCTGCCCCCCGGCCCCTCAGGCGATCTCTCAGACGGGTTTCACCACCTCGTCCGTCTCCTGCGTCAAGAACGCCTGGCATCGAGCCGGTGCCAGGGGGGGCGCCCGGGGGCAGCTGTATAAAATGCGACACCCCCAAACAGTTCAAGACATACCAGACGATGCAATACCGATCAGCTCTGATCAATGAGCTACGAGCAGCAGGACAGCAAGGCTCTTCGGCCTGCCCAGCGAGTATTTATCCTGCCGATGTGGAACGGTGGCTGCTTCTGAAGAGTGGGGGGAAAAAAAAAACCCGGGCTGTGCTTACTCGTTCACAGATGGGGACAAAAACCAATGAACGCAGCAGTCATTGTCCATCCCTCAATATCCAGCTAAAATGTCTGACAAACCAAACGTGGAAGAGGTCACTAGCTTCGACAACACCAAACTGAAGAAGACAGAAACTCAAGATCCCTTTGCCATCAAAAGAAGGCATTCTTCACAATTTCATTCCACGAAAAAAAATTGGAATTTAACCCTGGATCGGCCACTTCCGCGGCACAACTTTCCTACATTATTCCCCTTGGCTACGCACGCTTCGTTTGAATGAACAGGGGGCGCTTCGCTTTTAGTCTTCGGTCATCCTCCTCTTCCTGCTCCACCCCCCCATGTGTCACACAGGTGGGTGCGGGATTCAGGACGAGACCAAGCGCAGGGCTCAGAGGAGATCCCAGAGAGAGGAGCAGGAGCGCGTAAGGAAGGGGTGACGACTGAGAGCCGGCAAGGAGACCGACTGAAACAAGAAGCTGTGTCTTGTAGGAAATCTGGCTCGGGTATGGACCATGGGGGGGCTATCTCACCGATTTTAAACATTCAGAAGATGCTTGAGGGCAAAACATGACTAAATCTGTTTAAAACTACTGCACAGATGTTCTTATAGAAAAAGGCAGCAAAACCTAATCACACAAGTACACGTATCCAGACAAACTTCTCTGGGCAGCGTTCCAGAAATCCAGCGGTCCCTGTCCTCACACATTCCCTGATCCCAGCAGCTTCCGCGCACATGGGGCAGCTAGTGACGGGTGTTACCCCAGTGTCCTGACCAAACTCCCCCCTGGCCTTTACCCATCATGGCCTCCTAATAACCCCCATCTCTGAACTGGCTTCCACTCTGCTCTCCTCCCCACTGAGAGCTGGTGTGTGGGGAGCAGACTGGCGCATCATCCAGGTGGGGGATACACACTGGCGGTGCTGGAGGGGATCCCCATGACCTGTAAAGCGCTTTGAGTGGAGTGTCCAGAACAGTGCTACAGAAGTGCGAGGACTATTATTACAGCACAACCAGACCGCATGACCAAGCACCTTCAAGAACTGTACAACGCGCCACACCATTTAACCAGCAAATATTGTAACTCCCTGACATTGCAGTCGAGTTTCTTAAATGGCATGACCTACCACTGTGGTTATAAGCTTTGTTTTCTCCTCTTGCCCTGCGCGGTTACGTTTTTTGTACGCGATCTGAGCCTCGAAGTAAACTTTCCAGGGATCCAAGATGTTGTCCGATGTCTCATCGGTTCCTCAGCCCATAACCTCACCCAGCGGGCCTGCACCGCTCTGCAACTGACCGCTGGGGGGAGCGTCCGGCCACTGGGGGAGCTCAGACCCTGGCAAGCGCCCTATAGAGTCTGGGGGGGGCTGGTGGACCACTGGGGCAGCGTGATGAAAATACAGTGTGACCGTCGCGGTCCCGCGCGGGCTCGTGCCCTCCGCCACCCGTTCCGGCCCGCAGCACGAACCCGGGTCTCCGGCGTAACGCCACAGGGAACCAGCCCCACGAGCTAAAGGAGACCCCCCCCAGCCCGGGCGGCTGAGGCCCCTGCTACGCGCAGGGAGGGCGATGACGTCACCGTGCCCGAACTAGCTCCGCCACACAACTGTTGTTGGGTCACCCAGCGTCGTACCGCCGACTTCTGCGCCGCGGCTCACGAGTTCATGCACACGGACAGGCCAGAACAGACTCGAAGTGTAAAATTATGGAGCAGGAACGTGCGCTAACAACAGAAAAAAACAAACAAGCAAACAAACAACACCTCTCGCATGGGTGACCCTCAGGGAAAGCAGGCCAGCTGCCGCAGCGGTGCTGCTGGACCAGAAGGTGGCGCTCATGACCACAGACCGGCTCTTCCAATCAACATCCCACTTTGGCGACCAGGGACACCGCTCCATCGATACAGGGGGCTGCACACAGGAGGAGGTGGGCTCCCGCAGTGTCCTGGCTAGACCACAGCTTGGGTTTACGCTCCCTGGTCTCCCCACAGCTGCCCCCCTCCCTTCGCTCTCCTCCCCCGATCTGCTGCACGGTGGGGCTGCCGGTGCAGAACGGCCCACCTGGAGAGAATCCCCACCCGTACGCGGATCTCGTAGGGATCCGACGTAGAAGCAGCCGCCATTATCTCAGTGGGCTTCCAATAAGCGATCACGAGGCGCAGTGCCTTTGCAATTCCGCACGCGCTCTCTGTAAAAGATGAAGCGTGGTGCCTGGCAGTTTCAACCTCCCATCTGTCGAGCTACGAGGTTTGTTTTTTTAATTGAATACATAAAAATCTGAAGGGGGAGCTAACGGGGTCTGATGTATGATGGGGACAATTGTCATCAATTATCTCAACCGCAGTCTCCTCCCTTATCTTCAAGGCTGCACTGCAGAAGCAAAATGCATTTAACAATACGAGCCGCGCACATAACCGTTTAAAATCACACCCACTCCATTGACTCATCACTGTGAAAACCTGTTTGGCAAAGAGATCCTTGCAGAGTGACTCTTTGTAGAAGGACTCGGATTAGTCCACTTCTTCTATGGGGGGGGGAGGGTTCTACGCCGGGAGATACCATTCAAGCAGAGTTCTAGAAACCTGCTCGAAAAGACCGGCTTGAGAGAACACACAAACGTACAAAATGTAACTCGCACCACAGTAATAATAATAATAATAATAATAATTGCTTACACTTA